CTACAGACATACTGGAGTAACCCAGAGATAGCTTCCAGCATTCTGTTTAAAACCTTGCCTTTAAAGTTTTTAAGTAACAGATGGCAGCAGAAGAATACTACGGCAGTTATGGATTAAGCCATTGATTCCTTATAAAAATCATCCCTTTCTCTCTGGCTTTCCTTCAGAATCACTCGCATCTGTCCACTGACTGAGACTTGATCAGACTAATGTGGCATGAGTTAGAACCAGTAGACTCTTGTATTTACAAGATTGTCTCTTTCACTTACTGGATTAAAGTTACCGAGCATTTGCTGTTTGGTGAGCCTGTTTGCTACAGGCCTATAAAGAAGAATCAAACACTGTTGTGTTCTCAAGGTTTTATATTTTGCTCGAGGGGCATAGGTTCCTATAACGTCTTTTGATGAGTTCCATGGACTGGCAGTGACTGATAGAATTTTCTAAAAGAAAAGAAATATTTTATAGAAATAACTAAAATATGGCCTGAATCATAACAATAATAGCATATTTTAGACAACATTTCTTTTTAAAAGTTTATGAATCAATTCAATGAATGTCCACAAAACATTGTAAATGCAAACTTTTAGGTTTAGGTTTGTATAAAGGTTCTTCTCAGAAACAGAATAAAGAGAACAAACTCATCTGAGTATGTGTGTAAAGATGTGCGTATACCCGGTTAGAGACACATACATTTATTAGAGACAGACAGACAGGCAGGTAAACAGGCAGACAGACAGACAGACACACACACACACAGAGAGGAGGGGGAGAGATTGGGGGTACAGATTGAGATGCTGAGGAGTTGGTAACTGTGGATCCATTTGAGCCATATTTAAATTCCAAATAAACACAATAACTATATTGTACTTCTGGCTGAAATATCTTGTGTACAACTGAAACTGTTTTCCCAGGGGACCCAAAGTCTGTGGATAATATCTACCCATCTCTTTGGAGAGCCTGTAATTTTGACACTATGCTGTGGTGTTGATAGTGCTTAATTCCTGTCAGGTAAAGCCAGTCTCTCTCATGTTCTAGATGGTATGAAAGAAGAGAGATAACAGGCATTTGAGTGTGTTTTTTATAAAAATGCATGTGTGTATGTGTGTATATTACACACGTATACATAGGTATTCACGCACACACATATTTATGATAAAATGAAGAAATAGTCACAAAATTACCTCCTTCCTTTCTATACTGTCAGCCACAGCTGGTATTTGAAACCACCTCCTTCCAACTCCCCAACATTCTGTTTGCCTTCGGCAGGCTTCTCGACTGGCCATGTTTCTTTCTTTACCTGGTGAAGGGACCCAAACCTTCTTTCATGAACACTACTAATATTTCCTTAGATGAAAGTTTTGCAGAAAAGCATTGCACACAGAGCAATTGCACACAGACAAACATGCGTTCCAAGTGTGTGTCAATCTCAGAACCAAACAATGCCCCTTCCATGTGGAAGTGGTTCAGGTCAATCTGTTTTCAACAGATAACTGATAACCAAGGCAATGGCAGTCATATCAAGAACATAGAGGTTAAGATCATGCAGCTGGTAAAAGAGTGTGGGTCCAGTGTCTGTATGTTTATTGCGTTTTTCTCAAGCTAGCCTGTTTCAGCAAGAAGCAGCCCCAAATCAAGCAGAAAGCAAAGTTTTCTTCAGAAAAAAATCAAACTAAAACAACCTCCACCCCAAAATTTCCAAACAAAAGCCATTGTAAATCAAGTAGTGAAGTCTTTGGCCATCCCGACATGAATGCACCTGATCGTAGAAGCTAAGCAGAGTCAGGCTTGGGTGAGAGAATGAAGAGGTGAGTAAGACTCAAGAGGCATAATTTTGATTAACTTTCTTTGAGGCACAATAGGATGCCTCCTCCCCCTGTGAGTTATATGTCAGCTCATGGCATTTGTGTTAATCATGGTTCTTCTAATGGTCTTAAGAATCCGTTGACTTTGGAAAGATAATTAAGACTGCCAAACAATTGAGACTCTGGTTACCTCCTCACCACCATCTCCATTTTTACCGAAGGAAACATAGCTTGCTTGCTTCCTTGCTTCCTTCCTTCCATTTTTCTTTTCCTTCGTTCCTTTGTTCCTTCGTTTCTTTCTTTCTTTCTTTCTTTCTTTCTTTCTTTCTTTCTTTTTCTTTCTTCATTTCTTTCTTTCTTCCTTTCTTTCACAGATGCTTTTGTGTATCTTGTATGTGTGTGTTTGTAAGTATGTACATATGTGTACATGTATGTACAGGTATATATACATATGTGCCTGTCCACATAGGTGACAGAGGTTAATGTTGGGTATCTTCCTCAATTGCTCTCCACCTCATTCTTTTTCTTTTTTGAGACAGTCTCTTACTGAACCTGAAGCTTGCTGGTAGGCTGTCCACTCCACCCCACACCCTTACAAGCACAGTCTGCATTCTACATAGTTACTGGGGGTTGAATTTAGACCCACATGCTTGTGCAGCAGGCATCACTTGAGCTATTCCTCCTACCTGGAATTTAACTTTTATATGGGTTTATTGTTAGACGTTAGAGAGCCAGGCCAATGATTTCTATACTCAACATTTTGGAGGACTGATATTAATAATCAATCAACATTTATCATATTAGAAGCCCTACGTATGAGGTTCCAAACTAGGAGTCATAAGCAGTTACCTGTGATGTATGCTATACACAGTCATATGCTATTTCAGATAACTCTGTGAGTTGTTCAGGGATGTTGTTTGCTTAGGTTAGTGGCTAGACTACTACCTGAGGTTATATTGCACTAACAGTGAGGCCTGGCTGGAAGGATCTAGATGTCCTGCCCTTACCTGTCTGCAGCATTAGTACTTGCTTGTTGATGGTTTCAAGTCTTGTTTCTTTGTCTGGTGCCTTCTCATCCAGCAGGGCCTTTTCGAGGCCCCTTTGACATCAGGCTACATTGCACTTATGTAACATACTGATCTCTTGTCTGTCACTGCTGCCTTATTTGTTTGTTTGGTACAAGTGACAATGACATTTCATATTCAAAAAGAAGAGAAGAAAGTCTTTGGCTTTTTATAGGTGGCAATGTATGTAAGTATGAAGAGGTGGGAGGCATTAGTACCTTCTCTGTTTTCATTGAATATTCATTGCTTTTCTAGTCCCTCTGTCCATTAATTTCTGCAATCATCTTTGTTGTTTTCATTTTCTTTTTTTTTTAAATTATTGGTTCTTTGTAAATTTTAGATCATGCATCCAAATCCCACTCATCTCCCCTCTCTTAGTCCCCACTCTCCAACCTTGCAACCTCCCCATCAACGGAGAAAAAAAAAATCTCATTGTGGAAACTGCAGTGTGTCCCACAGTACCCTTTTGTCCATATATTTTTGCTGGCAAATATTCACTGCAATGAGTCACTGGTCTGGTATAAGGCCTCTGGATTGTACTGCTCTATCAATATAGGAACCCCATCTGGAGTCCTCTCAGATATCCTGTTGTTGTCCTGTGTCATGGAGACCCTATAGTCGTGGATTTTGTAGGACTGGCCCTTTTATGAACTCCAGAATGGGTAGATGTTGGTGTGGACCAATTCAAAGCCCTGGATTTGGGCCTGAATGGTATCTGAGCCGGTTAGCCCTCTGGCTCTCCCATTCTCACCAGCAACCCTGCAACTGCCCAGGTGAGGTGGAGTGTTATAGCTGTCAAGGGTCGCGGCCAATTCTCCACCTCTCATGATCCCAGGTCCAGCTCTCTTGCCTGCCATAGGTGGTAAGAGATGAGAAAGGGTGTGTCTTTCTCATTTGCACCACCTCACAGCAGACAAGAGGCAGGGACAGATCTGCTCTCACAATCTCAGGGCTGGGTCACCTACAACTCCTACATCCAGGGCAAGCTTTACTGTGTTTCCCAGATGAGGTGCAGGGGCTACTCTCCTGAGTGCTGCAGCAGGTGGCGGGCAGGGCCAGCCCTGCCATTCTGAAGACCTTGGGACAGCTTCCCTGCCTGCTGTAGGTAGCAAGGGGTAAGTTGGGGGAGTGGCATCTCTCCCTTGTCCATGTCACCACACAGCAGATAAGTGGGAAGGTCAGGGATGGCTTGCCTGCATCCTCAACACCAGAGTCAGCTGTGCTGCCTAGGTGAGGGGCAGGGACAGCTCTCCTGCTCTCATGACTTCAGGGCCAGGTCTCCCACCTGCCACAGCTGTTGAAGGGGGAGGAGGGAATCTGTCCCGCATCCATGCCACCTCACAGGAGATGAGTAGCAGGGCCAGCTCTCTCATTCTCGTATTCTCAGACTGACTCACTCACAACTCCCTCAGTGTATCTGGTGGGTCTCCCAATTACTGCAGCTGGATAGGGGCAGAATCAGCTCTCCTGTTCTCACACCCACAGGACAAACTCTCCCAAGATGTCCAGGTGTGGGGTGGGACCAATTCTGCACATCCCTCAGATGTCAACATCTCCTCAGTGGCATCCCACACCTGGAAAGTCCTCCTGAGCTTTGGTGGTAACATGATTGCTGCAGGGCCATGGAACCAGATGTGTCCCTGGTGGAAGCACAGTCCAGCAACTCACCATAGTCCCCGGTGGCATCACCAGCTACTCACATCAGGCTGTTCCTCACTACCCTTGAGTCTGCAGTTCTGTCTCTCTTCCTTGTGCCCACATCCTTCTGTTCCTCTCTTTCTTCCATTTCTCTACCACTTACTTGCTCCTCTTAGTGGCATCATTTCAGGAGTGTCTGGCATCATTTCAGGAGTGGTCTCAGGCGTGCTAGGCACTGCTTGTACATTACGGGACCAGGTAAGGATCATCTCAGGAACAGTCTGTCCCATCCAGGCCTGCGTGGCCCAGACTGGTGGTCATTTCAGGCTAACTCTCTGTTTGGGCCTCATGGTGATCTTCTGGTGGTTGGGGCCCATCTGAGTGGCCCTATGCAAGGGTTGTCTGTTTCAGGCTCAGGCCTGGTTCCAAGTGGGGGTCTTCTAGTCTCCAGCTTGCTCTCTGCCCTGGAAGCCTGTCTGGGCCTGCGTGGCCCAGGACTGGTGGTTGTTTCAGGCTTTCAGATGTTCACAGGTCAGAACATCGAGTGTAGACATAGCCTCTCTCCTCTCTGCCACCAGCTAATGCACAGGTGACACAGCAGTCACACTTGTAATTTTCTTAAGGATTACTTTATTCTCCCCCCACACCCCCAGTGTCTTAACACAGTTAAACTACTGATCTCAGGTCTTCACTAACATAGGCATGACAGCTATAAATTGCCCCCTAAAAACCACTTTAGCTACATCTCATAAGTCCCAGCATGCAGTGTTTTTAGTTTCTTTCATACTAAAATAGTTTCCTTTCCATTGTGATTTCTTGCTTGGTATACTCTAAGTGAGTTTAGGACTTTGTTATTTGAGTTTCACATGTTTCTGTGTTTCCCAAGTTTCTGTTGTTCATTCTATTGTGGTTAGGAATTTATCTAGTATGGCTTTGAGTGTTTAAAACTTACTGAGAATTATTTTGTGTCTTAGATATCATGGGTGTTTTTTTTTTCTTTCTGTATAATGTTCCAAGTGATCTGAGAAAAATGTGTGCTCTCTTGTGGTTGGTGGGACATTCCAGAGACACTAGTTAGATCAAGTTGGTGGATAGTGTTGCTCAAGTCTCATTCCTTTGTTCAGTTATTGTCTAGTTGTTGTATATGTTATAAAAATTGAAGTGTTAAAGTCTGACTCTCACCATACAACTGTTTCTCTCTTAGTGTTGGTTCCTGTCCTACAGGGCTGTTTTTAAGTTTATCATTTTATATGGTTGGCCCTTATGTCATTAGGAGAATGTCTCATTTTATTTAAAATTTAAAATTATGGTAATATTTGTGTGTGTGTGTGTGTGTGTGTGTGTGTGTGCTCTGAAGTGCTTTTGTCTAGGCTATGTAGCTTTTGTGACTGTCTTTTGTCTGCTTTGTATTTTTCTGTCTTTTTCCTTTGGACTATGTCTTTGAATTTAGGTGTTTCTGAAAAAAGTGCATAGTTTGGTCTCAGCTTTCACCCAGTCTAACAATGAATTCATATTTAATGTTTTGTATATATCATATACATATACACATATACATATACATATATCTGCCATTTTTATTTTTTTTAAATGCTCATGTTTTTATTCATGTATTTCCCCTCTACTATTTTCTTTGGATTGGGAATTGCCTAGTAAATCATCTAATTCTTTCTTCTTCTTTCCTTCCTTCCTTCCTTCCTTCCTTCCTTCCTTCCTTCCTTCCTTCCTTCCTTCCTTCCTTTTTTTCTTGTTTGTTTGAGATAAGGTCTCTTTGTGTAACCTTGGCTCTTCTAGAACTCACTCTGTAGAGCAGGCTGGCCTTTAACTCAGAGATCCACTTGCCTCTGCCTCCTGAGTGCAGGGATTAGAGGTATGCACCACCACTAACCACCCAGCACATTTTAATGTTTAATTGATATTTAAATTTTTCCTTTTGTTTTCTTAGTAGTTGTTCCATCATTGTTTCAAATGACCAGAAGCCATTTCAGAGTCATACAAACTCAGTTCTAGCAAGCTTTACAGACATTATTTCTTTGTTTCTCCTTTCCTCTTTTATCTGTTATATATGTGATATACTTCAATATCTGTGTCATACCCAAAGGGACATTTTACAACTATTGACTTGGGGGGAAGAACAGAGACCAAGTGTAGACTTACAGTTGATTGCATTAACTTTCCTATTTACCTATTCTGCCCTTTTCATTTGTGTCCATGAACTTTGATTACCATGTGGTATTGTGTTCTTCCTCTGTTACAACTCTGCTCTGACGTTTGTGCTGTATTGTTAAATATTTTGTGCTAAACTTATCAAGTACTCTAGAGTTGAATGTGTTAAGCCTATATTAGTGCATTAAATGCATATGTTTTCTATAGTTTCTCTTGAAACCAGTGAAGAGGAGAAAGAAATGTGAATAAGCACTCAAATTATTTATTTACTAGTGTATTCTATGGAGTAGGCTACAAGACAAGTCTCCATACTGTCCTTAAATTCTAAGCAAATATATTATTTTTTAACCTTTATGTGTGTGTGTTTGTGCATGCACAAATATATTATTTTTTAACCTTTGTGTGTGTGTGTGTGTGTGTGTGTATGTGTTATGCATTCTCTACCCCCAAGCATACCACGGTATATATGTGGAGGTCAGGGTTCAAACTCTGATGTTGGTTCCTGATTTCTACTTTGTTTAAGATTGGGCCTTTAGTTATTTACCATTGCACCTGCCAGTCTAGGTAGCCTGTGAGCTTCTGAAGATTCTCCTATTTCAGCCTCCTCTCTCCCTTGACAAGTGCTGGAATTACAGATATGTGCTATTGCATCTGGCTTTATGTGGGTTATAAAATCCAAACCCAGATCCTCATGTTTGAGCCATCTCTCCATCCTGTACTGTCCTTTTTGATGACCTTACTGGTGTATTCTCTCTCTCTCTCTCTCTCTCTCTCTCTCTCTCTCTCTCTCTCTCT